TGCTAAAGTGGAAAGAGTGAAGGGCTCTGCGGGAGCGCTTGTAGTGGTAGTAATCCTGCGTTCACCTTTCCCTCTTAGGTCACCAAACAGGACACTTCAAATGGAGTGAGGCGACACCTCACCGGCATATGAAGTGAACCATTTTTAGTTGGGACATGAACCACGCAAACGGGACAGCTTCTCTCCTCACCTCCTCTGCTTTTCTGTGACGTCAGTGCTCGTCGGACTTGACGTCACACGCGACCTGTCAATAGTATGCCTGTCCACAAGACTTGGAAGGTCGAAGAGGTCCGGCTGTTCGGGTTTGGCTCGCGAGAAGAGGCTTCGCCTCCTCGCCCTCATATCCTTCCCTTTCCCGTGTTCGGGAAGCTCTAGACTTGCACAGCAGCGGAAACCTTGGCTGATGACCAACAGAGCGTATGAGTGGCTGTCCGGATCCCCACGCGATGAGCACGCTCCAGGCCTCCATCAAGAACAGAAGCCGAAGAAAGCACCCCCCCCCCCTGTAAAAAAAAAAGACAAAAAAAAAAAAAAACGGACGAAAGCGAATTGCAGTACGCCATATGCGGGTGTTGTGTTGCTAAAGGCCATCTGAGGTGTACTGTTTGGACAACCCTTTAAGGGCTCTCCAAACAGGACACTTCAAGCGGGTGTGTAGCGACGCTTCTCCGCCATATATGACGAGCGGCGATCCGCTTTCGTCCGTCTTCCGGGGGAATGCTTCCCCCCGCCACGTCCGCTTGTGTCCATCCCGGGGGCCTTGAGCATGCTCGTCACGTGGGTCCGGACAGCCACTCATACGCTCTGTTGGCTGTCAGTCAAGTGCCCAAGGCCCCCGCTGCTGTTCAAGTCCCAAAAACGGGACAGATGGATAGGCAGCATGACACACCATTTCTTTGTTTCTTTATTTATTCATTTTACCCTCAGAGCCGGAGGCATTACGGAGGGGAGTGCTGATAAAACGAACGAAACAACAGTGGAAAATACAAAATAGTTAAACAACAGGGAATACATGGTTTGGAACATTTGAACAACAAAGAACACAGTCAACAAGTGATGCAGGAGGATGATTCCATTCATTCGAAACTCGAGGAATAAATTAAGCAAAATATTTGTTATAATGACAATGGGACGCCTACTTTGTGACGGTGATCCAAGCGTGCCGAGGCAAACGATTTGGGGGGGGGGGGGGGGGGGGGGGCGGGGGGGTATCAATTGATTTCTGAGTATAGTGTTGTGACATAGCCTCCTCTATACGTTGTGATGAAAAATTTTATGAAAGAGACAAATACTAGAACTTTTTCGGCGATGTGCGAGACTGGGTAGTGATAAAGTATTTTTCATTCACCCTAAAAAATACCTGCGCGTCTACTTAACCGCAAAACAGTCAAAGAGCCAATCTCTGCGACATACCCAGACAAGCTCAGCGAATGATGAGGCGGTACATCTGTTTAGACCTAAAAATTAAGTCTGCACTGTGGCATTACGGAATGCAAAGAGAAATGCTTGCAATGCGTAATGCAACATCGCACACTTAATATTGAGATCTAAACAGATGTTCCACCTCATCATTCGCTGAGCTTATTTCGTAGATCACAGAGATTGACTCTACGAGTGTTTGGCGAGTAAGTGCACGCGCAGGCATTTTTAAGAGAGATGACATTACGCTACACACTAAAAAAAGTCTGTGCGTCTACTTTCACGCGCAACAGTCGAAGAGCCAATCACCACAACTTTCGGAGAAAACTCAGCGAATGACGATGCCGAAACGTTAGTTTAGACCAAAAAACGCAGCCTAAATTGTGACATTAAGCAATGCGAAACGTCACGCTTGCATTGCTTAATGTCACAACTCAGACTGCGTTTTTTGGTCTAAACATATGTTTCGGCATCGTCATTCGCTGAGCTGCCTCCGTAAGCTGCGCTCATTGGCTCTCCGAGTGTTGTGTGGGAAAGAACACGCACCGGCTTTTCTTAGAGTGTACGGTTAGCGTTGTTGGTCACATAATTAATATGAATGTTCCACGACCAGATCGGAGCTTAGGATCACTCCTAGATACTTATTAGAGTTTACAAGTTCTAGTGTTGTGTTATTAAGGCTATACGTAGATGTAAAAGTAACCTTACGAACCATGCGCTTTAGTTTGCACTCGTTAATATTTAGTTCCTTTGACCATAGCTCCCACCACTTTGAAATAGAATCTAAATCATGCTGTAATTGCTTGGAGTCAGAGTCATTAGGTATTATTCGACAAATGGCACAATCGTCAGAAAATAATTTAATTGAGGACGAAACAGTACTGGAAGGTTGTTAATATAAGTGAGAAAAAGTTAGAAAACTTGATGTGAAACCTGAATTGAAAAAGAAAACTTGAATTAGAACAAAAAAGAAAACTTGATTTCACACGCCGCCATTTGCAGGTGGCGTGTGACGAGCCGAGGCTGCAGAAAAGCAGAGGATGTGAGGAGCAAAGCCGTGATGTTTGCCTGATGAATGTCCGAACAAAAGGCGGACTGCTGGACTGCAACTTTCACTTGATATGGCGGAGAAGTGTCGCCTCACGGGTTTTGAAGTATTCTGTTTGGACACCGGCCCCTTTGCCGGGAGTCAAAGCTACGAACTGTCAGCCCCCGCTTCGCCCAATACCACCTAAAAGACAAGGCCTGCTCCTGATCAGGGGAGGAGGGGAACATGACTGCACAAAGCTCTGACGACACGGGCCAAGCATTGCCCAGGGATTTTGTTCATCAAGTGCCATTTCACTCGAAACATTTCTTCCCCACAAAAAGCTGGTGTATGTCGTCTTCCCTTTATTAAAAAAATTCAGCCTTGGGAAGAGGGCGGTCGCCCCCCTCCCATAAGTCCAGCCCTGGGGGGCACCCACCTTGTACTGGTCGTTGCCGTGCGACACGGTGCGTCCGTCCAGCGGATCCCAGACCAGCGGACAGCCGGCGTCGTCGGGGCATCGGCAGAGCTGTTCCGCGTTCACGCCGGCCACGTTGAGCTGCACGTATCCGCACACGCTCTGCGCCAGGCACTCCGGTAGCTCCTGCGTGCCAGACACCAGCGTCGCTATTCTGCGAACGAAACGCCGCGGACCACGCAGAATAGCATCTTTACGGAAGCTAACTCGTGGCGATTTCCAATCGTCGTTTTGGGGCGATGGCCTCAATCCGCACCGGAGCACGCAATTTGGGCGGAGTCCTTGCGCCGCCGACTGTATACCAAGACCTGACAGTGGCCGGAGCGTGTATATATACGCATAGTAGTTTCCTCACGAAGTATAACCATGGGGCGAAACCGGGACCCCAGATTGGCCTTTTTTCAAGGATACAAATGCGCGCCCCGCCGGCAACAGGCGGCGGCGACTTTTTTTTTGTGACGCTGCACGTCCCTCTGGTTTACGCGACAGAGAGAGAAGGGGGGGGGGGGGGGGGGGCTGGAGGCTTGGGTACACAGCCGCCCACTGTTTTACGCGCGCACAAACTAGACATTGTAACAGCCATATTCATGTAAGAAGGGTGTAAGAAGGTTGTATTAGTTAGGAAACGCAGCCTTCTTACACCCTTTTTACACGATTTCTGAATATCGAAGTGTCTAAGACGGCTGTGCTGATGATTTCCACTCCTTGCACGCCCCTTTTTGTGCCCACTTGCAGCGATGGTGTCTGAAATCGTGTAGAAAGGGTTTGTGGGCGAATTTTACGCCCTTCATCCACACGGTGTGAAAGGGGCGTAATGGTGATCCAGTCGAATACACCCATGATTTCATAGCCGTTCATGTTTATCGCTTTGAGGAAACTTTTGCTGATGTGCGGCGGTACAAACATGGAGTGTGGTTAATCGCCACACGAAGTGGCGTACGATTAGAAAGTGCTCGATAATAGTTCTTGCAGCTCCGATCGAACTCACGAGCCGAAGATTACGTGTCACGCGTGCATCAGTTCTATCAGTTCAACTTCGATTTAAAAAAGCGTCTCCGCTCTCAAAAGACGAACGAAGACGTCGAAATATACATCACAGGTAGCACACGGTATTGCGCCGATATTGAGCTTAAATTGGAAAGACTGTGCCGATACCATTTTGATTCAACGGATACGTGTGAAGTATCAGGATGACGCCAACGCCATCTTGAAAGCAGGTCGTATCTTGACATACCGCTTATGGCCTGAATGTCCAAGGAGATTGAATCTTCAACGGGCCTAAATGTCCAATCGGTCATGTGACAGGCGAGACGGCATGTACAACAAGACGAAAGATCCAACCGAGACGGAATGTCCATAGAGCCTGAATGTCCAACGAGACAAAAGATCCAACGGATATGAAGTAAACCTTGCATATAATTTAGAAGTTATTAATTTTTTCGAATAGTTGATTAATGATAGTTATGGCGGTCGTTTCGGTACGTGGTCGTTTCGGTACTGGGCTTTTCCATGCACGGCTATTTTCGTGGGCCGCTGAGCTTGTCCGGCTGACATTATCTTTGCCAAGTCCCCCCGAATAAAATTAACATTATGCTCGTGCATTGGGGAAGTTGAACATATAGTAGTGGTCAATATAATTACTGTATTTTTTCTCATGCGCCTATACTACTTTCAAGATAAAACCGCGCAGGTGCGATTGTTTCCGCTCTTAAGGCGACCCTTTTGAAGTCAGCCACTAATTTCGTGTTCCAGCTATGTTTTATAATTACTACCAAACGAAGTTGAAAGCTCAAGATATTTCTGATTGGACTTTTTGGTCCGCAGAAACAAAATATCGATCCTCATATCAAAATCGGTGATAAAATACAACTTTCCTTCCATTAAGATTTTGTTGGGGTGCGGACATAAACGGTGAGCCTTTGTCCTGAGTCCCCGAAAAAAAAATGGTGAGCTTTGGTCCGTTTCGCATGCTTCAGCCACTATAGCAATTGCTGTCGCAGTGAAACACTGTTAAGCAACAAGTATGTACTTTTAATAATTAATACAACGACTTCTTAGGTGTTTCAGTTTTTGTTTCGAATACACGACGAGGACGCGTAAAACGTTTGTCAACGATGGCTTCGCTTCCGTCTTTTCCGCTCTGCCTTTTCTGGTCACGTGGCATCAGACTCGTGCTCGCTACTTGAAAAAATGTAATGGATTACAGTTACAAATTACCGAACCTCAAATGTAACAGATTACCGTTACAAATTACTTTCGCTAAATAGTAACGGATTACTTTACTTGTGACGTTACAAATTACTTTCACGTTACTTTTTCCGTACACTTATCCAGAAAACAGCAGAAACGATTTTGATATATTTTTTTAATATTCTGCAACACTAAATTTTATTTCTCATACGCCCGTATTATGCCAGTCCTTGTAAAAATAAGATATTGTGTTAGAAAGGAAGAGTGTAGGTGCACTCCGTTCACCTGTTAGCTGCCAAGGCACCGAAAGCTGCAACCGCACCCGCCATCCCGCTAGCTTACGCCTCCGGAAATGATCCCTGGAATTGTGGAAATAAAGCTAGCGGTGTGCATGCTCAGAAGCAGCGTCTACCTCGGCTACGAGATTCGGAGCTAAAGAAGCGATCTGCGAAAGCTCCCTTTTGACTCGGGTGTTTCGCCTGTTATTTAGAAGAAAAGAAAAACTTGGTTCTAACGTTACAATGTATAGAATGCAGAATGCAGGTGTCCCAGCTTACCTTGATGTGTTTCAGTAGATTAGAGTTTGTTGTTCTTGCTGATAACAATATGTTTTTTTTTTTTGTCAAGCAAAGTATACACTCGAAATCTAGGTTTCCGTTCTCCTTAATGCCCTGAATTTTGAGCATCTCATTAAGAGATGGCCATGGGACGATAGACACTCGAGGACCGAAAACTCGACTAGTCAGAGAAAAAAGTGGCGATTGCGGGTTTTCGATTGTTTCATCCGTTCTTACTTTCATACCAATATTCGTGGAGGCCAGGGGAGGGGAAAGCATAGAGAGCGAGAGAAGCGGTGGCCACCGGTCTCACAAAACAGTAGAGGATCACACCCCTTTTACGCGTTCTCTCTTTCTCTCTCAGTACTCATGGCCTAACCCCCCCCCCCCCCCCCCCCCCCCCCTTTAATGTTGACAGTTGACTGTAAAGTGAGGCAGTGGACTTGACCACCATGCCCAGACAAGTAAACCAAAAGAAGTATCGTCCATACCCTCGAAGACGATGCTCTTAGCCTCGCACCGGGCGCTTTTCAGCCGTGACTCAAGAGCGTGCAAGAATAAAGTAGCGCACGTCAAAGACGAAGATACTTCGACCACCACCAGCGAGGCTACGGTACTTCGCCTCCCACCTCCACTTCGGCCAACGAAACCTCGGCAATGGGAAAATGGACGTCAGCCCAAGCCCTGGGGCCTACGGACGGGCGACACCAAACCCTCCCGCTCACTTGAGCAGGGCGTATACGTCAGCTAAACCTAGGATGTTAGACTTGTGCGATTCCCTTCTGCGTTGTACTTTTTGGAGACGTTTTTATTTTTACTAAACACTAGGGCTAGCCTTGTACAGATGCTGCATAAAAATAACCTGTGTGGGGTAACTTTGCTCGTCTTCGAAGATGGCGAACGAGGTGCGGCTTGCAAACAAAGACAATAGAAGACCCCTAGTGGATCCTCCCAGTGCCGCCTAGGCTGCGTCACCATCGCCGAACACGTATCGCAGCGTCTCACAACCAGTGCGGCGCTAGAACACGGCGACGCAGGACGCCGAGCATCAACGTGTTTGCCGCTTGGGGTCTACCAACAATGACGTCATGCGCAGGCCTTTTCTTCTCGAGATGTCTCACCGGGGTCAGGCCGGACGAGCGCGGTCTCGCCTGTCCCAGGCCCACGACGCAGAGCAGCAACCAGCAGGACAAGCCAGCACGGGTCATCTCAACGACGGCTCTTGGCTGTGAACTGCACAGAGATGCCACCCACGCGTTCAGTGGCGTAGCCAGGAAAAAAATATTTCAGGAGATGTTTTTCTTTGCGCAAGCCATTAAAAAATAAAAGAGGAAAAGAATTTGCACAAACACAATGTCAGTTACTATTTTCCTGTTTCGAAGACAAAAAAATCAACCTTTTTTTGCCACATGGGCTTTAGAAAACACACACACACGCAAGAGACTCCGTTAGTCTAATTTTTAAAAAGGAAAACTTCACTTGTGAACAACAAAAACACGCAATTCAAAAATATAATGATGTGCTTTGAGCAAAAAATATAGACGGCTCACAAAATATTCCGGTGTGTACACTTCTCTGCGGAACACTCAAACCGGGGTCCCACTGCTCGTACATCACACAAACGACAGTCAGCAAAAACGAGTCGCCGCAATATTCGTGGTTCGAATGCCGTGTGACAAGTTTTCTCCTTCAACTCATCACCATGCGGCATTCGAAGTACGGACCTCGCGGTGACTCGCGTTCGAATCTGTATGCAGACTGTCTTTTGTATGACGTATTGTAAGCAGTGCTTAAGGTATCCAAGCACTTAAAACTATGGAAGTGTGCCAGATAATAGCGAAGTTTAGAATACGATTAAGCATAAAACTGCAACGCGCACTGATGCAATGAGCAAGTGAAGTGACACGCTCATTCTTCCTGCGCGGATCACATTTTTTTGAAAATGATCGCGCTATGGTCATTTTTGTGTTCTTTCCGTCTTCCGTTGTCGTTTTATGGGAGAGTGACAGAGAAAAATACCAGTTCCTATCGTTCTGTCGAGTCTAAACATTTAGTCGAAGTCGCCGTCGGTCGATACAAAGAAGCCAGGGGACCCTTTCGGGGCTGACTTGGATATTCCGATGAATGTTCAGAAGCGCGACCCATAGCAAGCCCTCCTGGGACGTTGAAGCTGTCAGGTATGGCTTGAGTCTTCGGAGTCTCGAGAACGAACGTTCCGGTACAGCTGTGCTGACGGGCGTGGTGACCAGGATTTGCAGCAGGCGGTTTACATTAGGATACAAGGCCTCCGGGAATGACAGGTTGCCTGTACCGCGGAGACGTGCTCAGCGATGCGGTCCCTCAAACATCTGAGTTCAAACCATAACTTTTCCAGGCAGTTCATTTAACGATACGAATGCTCCGCAGTCTGCACAGGCTGGAGATTTGCTGGGAGTCGAGGCTTGCGACATACAGACCAACGTCGTTGGCCACAACGTGGCTCTCGTCTAGGGAGGACGATGCTGCCTGACGTGAAGGTGCCTACTCTGTTGGAGACGTAGATGGCACGCTGGAAGTCATACGTCTATTATTATTAAAAAAGAATTGTCAAGCGACGGCTTGGCTCGTTTGATTGAACTAATTTTTGAGAGTCTGTCTCGCTTCTTATATTTTCTTTTTTTGTCAAGGGGGATGTTTTCTTTTGTTTTTGTTTTTTCCTCTTGGTGTATTAAACGAGTGCAGACGAGTGAACCCTGGAGAGGCGGGAAGACGGGGCGAAAAAGCAAAACAACACGCTAAGCTGTTTGTCCTTTCTTCGTCCCGTTTTCCCCTCACTTTTTGAGTCCTTGAGCCTCAAAGAGTAGGGGGACTTTAGTCGCCTGCACTCTAAGAAAAAATGGAGGAAAAAAGTAGCAACGGCGCGTCTTCCTCCCTTCTACTGACGCGCCCCCAAGCGGACACGAGAAAAGTGGAGTAACGAAACGTTTTTCTCCTTCTCCAGGCAGACGGGAGAAAGCTTTCGCCCTCCCGACTCATCTTCTTTCGGTTTCGTTTTTTGAGCAGGTCGCGCACGTTGTTTAATAAATAGCTGTTGAGTTGATTGAGCTTCAGCGGCAGCGAAGGCCGCCTGTAATTCCGTCTTCTAGTCTAAACGTGCAGAACATTGCGGTTGCATTGACGTTTTTATCACTAATTTTATCAAACGAGCAAACAAACCGCTAGAAACAGTGAAGTTCCGGAGCAGTGCCAGCAGCGCCACGTACACTGGGGAATGGCCGTCTCCGGATTGCGGGGATTGCGGGACTCGCGCGGCACGGAACTACAGCGCTACAGTCACTACAGTAGCGAAACCACGCGGAACTGTGTCGACGTTTTCGACGTTATGGAAACCGCAGGTTTCCATAACGTCGAAAGGTATGACATTGCTGGAAAAAATCAACATGCTAGGAATATTTTTTATTGCTTAGAGAGTCACCGAAAAGTTCCGTACGTTCAAAACGACCAGTATAAAAGACGGAAACGCAGAGATCAGGTGCAGTGTTCGGGTTAGTGTGGTGTTCAGTTGTATTGATATTTGTGTGTGCCGTGTCTGTGCTCAATGTATGCTCGCCTGATGCTTGTAATAAGCGTAATGTGTGTGTAGTAGAGGATCCCCAAGCGCAGGAATGGCCTGAGAAGAGCAAATTATTTTTTTGTAGAACATGAATTGGGCGGTATCTAGCGCCACCTAGCCTAGCTACTTGCAATTACTCTGCTTGACCCCGCCATCTGGTGGCTAGCGATTTAACCTTTCACGTTACGCGATAAACAGCGGCTTCGAGTTTGTTCTTTCGAGAGCGGCTTTTGGTTTCGCGGATTGAGTTTGCCCTTCTTCGTGATGTGCGGTTGACGAAGGAATTGTGACTCGAGGAACACCAAAGGTAAGACGCAAAGTGCGCGAAGTAACTGGGTATCGGTTGCCTCCGTTTAACATCGCAGTGCTGTCGACGAGAAGACTGAGTAACTGCTTTCGAAACGCAAGTTTCTGTACCTGTGGGGGGAATCTGGCTTCACAAATAAACACAGTTTGCGGAAGGCTCGTGTTACGCTTTTATTTGCTGCTGCTCTCGTCCCGTACAAGAGACGTAGCGTCCTCGTCAAGCCTTATTGGGCTCGATTTGGTGGATTCGGGGCCGCCATATTGAGATGCAAGCGACGGAGGAACTTTGCTCCCCTGCTTCAGGGACGAAAGTTTCTCCCTTTCTAAAGGAACATAGGTTACAAGACCGTTCCTCCCCTAAGGGAGGACTATCCATACCCTTCTTTCTAAGAGTGTGCATTCTCCGAGGCGAGGCCAGCATCCGTCGAGGTTAAGATTTCGCGGCTTTTCTGACGTCGGGAGCTGAGCCCTTCGCACCTGCGCAGCATGAAGAAAGGCTTCGGTTCCGGCCGGGGTTGGCGAGAGCTCTTCGGAAAGCCGGAGCCGTAATTTCGTTTGTCACGCAGTCCACGGACAGTGTCGTGATCTTCGTTTTGCTTTGGAATGTTGTGGGCCCACCACCTCGCCATAGCGGTTTGTCGAACAGAAAGAGAAGCACGTAGGTCATTTAATACCTTGACGAAATCACAAAAAATAAACACACACAAAAAGAAAAAACTGAGACGTAAAGGGGAAAATAGGAAAATCATAAAATTTCGGGGGGTGCTTCGACCAGTGAACACACCCACTGGCTACGCCGCTGCACGCGTTGGTACACACTCGCGCCGTCGTCCCGTTTGCTCAACGGAGAGTGCTTCGGCCACAGTCGAGGCGGGGAAACCCGGGGCAAGGAGGAGCCAATGTCAAACAGCCGGGAAAGTGCCAGCACGTTATTGATCACAGTGCGGCACTGTTATCACGAGGGCTGTCGCGAATTTGCTCGGGTTCGAACTTAGAAAGGCCCGTTCACAAACTTGCCTTTGATTTCCAGAGTTCTTGTAATCTCCTACGACGGGGTTTTCTAACGTTTACAGAAGTTTTAAGGCGGCAGTCCCACGGCCCTAACCATAATACTGGTGGCAGCTGTGCTAACGGTCCTGCATGTTTGCGGTGCCAATGTCGCGTCTGTGCGCGTGCCACGTATTTCGTTCTTTTTGCAAATAAATGGCGAATTCATCATCACTGTTTTAGTGCAAATGTGACATGCATTTTTTAAAAAAAAACTTAACGCACAATAAGAAAACCAAAAGTGCAAGTTTTGATATTTTCAAAGACATACCTCTACGCATTCCAAGTTTCTAGACTTGTAATGCATTAAGGTCGCGTTCTTATTTCTTTAATGAAAAGATCAGGGGTGGCCAAGCTGCTCGCGAGCCGCATGCGGCTCTTCGCGCGTGTTAAAGTGCGGCTCGCGGCTCCCTGCCCTACCCCCCCCCCCCCCCCCCCCCCCCCCCTACCCCGCCTCCCTTCCGGCAGTCTTGGGTAAGTTACTTTTAAAAAGCAATTCGTTAAGGCTCTGCTATACTCCGACGTAACGCGTGCGCGCGTGCGAGCGCGTCACAGCGACGTCACGTCGGCGAAAACCCGACGCTCTATACTCCGGCGCCGTGGCGTAACCGACGCGACCGGCGGCGTTCAGCGCAGCCTGACCACCTCGACGCCAAAATGGAGCATGCCGTATTCCGCGCCGGCCACGCCGGCGACGCCGGACCAGGATGCATCACGCGCTGGCTCCCGACAGGCGTCGCGCGGGGAGCGCGGCGAATGCGAGCAATAGCAGACGACAGGAGCGCCACTACGTGTGGCGTCGTGTTTGAAGAATCGGACTCGGTCGGTCGAGAAGCTGATCGAGGGAATTCGTCCTCACCCGCGTGTCTACGACACGAGGAAGCTTGAGCATCGTAGACCGGGCGCTTGTCAAAGATGTACCGTACGCAAACTGACCGCCTACGCTTGCGGCGCAGTGAACCAACAGTGAAAGCGCGAGTTTTCGTCGTGCAAGGTACGTCCACGCCATCGCTCGAACTGGACGCTCAAGAAGCGCGAGAATTTTCGTATGCTATTCGAAACGAAAAGGAACCGGAAGTGGCGCACTCTTGCAGGAAACGTACCCCCTTAGTCAGATTCTGCGCATGCGCCGCACCGGCGGGCCACCGACGCGCGCCGCGAGCGCCGCCAGGGCCGCCCGAGTATAAAGAAGCCGAATTTTTTATGCGTGCGGCGTGACTGACGTGACGTAGCCGACTTCGGCCAGCGTTCGCTTGCGCGCGCGTTACGTCGGAGTATAACAGAGCCT